TGGGTTGGCTGCCAGACCCACTGTCCTTGAAACCAGAAAGAGTTTGCGATTGCAGCAGCTGATCAACTTACACCCAGTTATGCTATTCATGAAAAGAAGTCCTGATGAGCCCAGGTGTGGATTTAGCCGAAAAGGAGTTGACATTTTGAAGAAAGAAAAGATCAAATTTGGGAGTTTTGATATTCTGTTGGACAATGAAGTTCGTGAGGGGTTGAAGAAGTATTCTAACTGGCCAACTTTCCTCAGCTCTATTGTAAAGGTGAGCTTCTTGGTGGGTGTGACATTGTAATTGCAAGGCATGAGAGTGGGAAATTAAAGGAAGTTTTTAGAGACCAAGGAATTGAGTCAGTCGATTCTGAAAATGCAAATGCAAAAGTGACTGAAGCTGGAAGTGGAAAGGGTGGCATCTCAGAATCTACAGGCTTAAGTACAATCCTCGGATCTCTAGTTGAAAGCCTTATTAATTCAAGCCGAGTTGTATATCAAGGGCGAACTTATTGGCGGATCAAACATTGTATTGGAGATGCAAAAAAGTGGGGAACTTAGGAAAGTGCTGGCTGGAAAAGGAATTGTTCAGAAAGAGACTATTGAAGATCGTTGAAGAAATTGATAGCTTCTTCACCAGTAATGCTCTTCATGACGGGTACACCAAATGCTCCCAGATGCGGTTTTGGCTCTAAAGTCGTTAATGCCCTTAAAGAGGAGAATGTGAGTTTTGGCTCCTTTGACATCTCAACTGATGAGGAAGTTAGGCAGGGGCTGAAAGTCTTGGATATATATGTTTGCAAGAACTATTCCTTTTTGAAATGATATATCAATGTGTGTATTTACGTGTGTGTGGATATCAATGTGTGCATTTTAAAATGATATTTTCATTTGCTCTTTTTTCTTGTGTGTGGATATCAATGTGTGAATTTGCTCATTTACGTGTGTGTAGATATCAATATATTTGAAATGTTCTTTATTTGCGGTCCTATAATTAATTATCATTTGACTTAACTCGTTTTTTGGCATGAAATTTCTCAACAAATTTATCATATTTTCTTATAGATTTTTGAGAAGAACCCCACCAAAATTGATAATTATGGTATTTGGTTGCGTTATCAAGACTGCAACTTTTCCTGTCAAGCTTTGCAAGAGAGAGCACAAAATAATTCCACGACTCGAAGATAAGTTTCCATTGGAAGGTCAGACCACCAACTAAGAAGCTGAAGACCACATACAAGGCATCAAAGCTCAACTTATTTATGTAACTTGGTCATTTGACGATAAAACTTTTAACTTGTTTATAGAATGTATATTTTTGTTCAACAAATTGATTACTCACTAATGCTCCTTTTAGTTGTAATTATATTGTGAATGAAAAAAAGAGAATTAATTATCATAAATTTATTGTTAAAAAACTCAAATCATAGTATTATGTTTTTTTTTTTTTTAAAAGTTAAACAAGTATTTTTAAATACTAAAAATAATTATATATATTTAAGTTTCATATCATGTCTATTTTAGTCATTTTACATATTCACAACAATTTAACTTCAAAATTTACTAAACGATATTACATTGATTTTGAAACCAGTACAGTTACTATAATTATAGTTTACCAAGCACTCAACTGTTTCTTGTAACAGTTGTTTCTTCATTCAGCACAGTTAAAAATAATTTTTTTAAAATTCACAGCACTACCAAACTAAGCCTTTCTCTCTCTCCTCTCCTCTGTTGAGCAAAAATGAAGCTTCGAGATCGAGATCCACCCATTTGTCATTGAATCTCTCTGTTTGAAGGCCGCAGTTTCTTGACATCTTGCCTGCAACTCGACTGATCGGCGACGAACAGCACCTCTCGCTAGCGAGATCCATTCACGGAGAGTAATTTTGCTGTCGTCTTCATGGCTTGCTCCATAGTGACAGATCTCCTCCATATCCCAGCCACCTTGAACATCATTTGCTCCATGTGCAGATGTCTTTGATGGCCAAGCAAGAGAGTGGGGGGTCCAAAAGCCATTGTTTTTAGTACATCAAAAGGGGGTATTTTTGGTACATGATTTTAACTAATAGCCGTTTACTTAACCTTGCTTTAAAATCAGCTAGTAATTTTAATTAACATTCCAAAGTTGCTATTTCCCTTTCTCTCCTGAAAAACAAATAGAGAATTTATTTTTGAGAAAATATGAATATGAATTTTTATTTTTTATTTTTGATAAATATTCTCTTTTAGTTAACAATAAAAGATAAAAATTCATATTTATGCACTTTTAAAGAGTATTTATCAAGATTATCCACATTTATTAAGTGCTTTTAGGCATTCTCTGAAAGTGATTATTATAATTTTATTCTGCGTTAAAATTATATTAAACCCATTAATAACTCTCCACATTAATTATAAACTTTTCCAAAAAATAAATGATCACATACCCGCATAAACTATAATTAAAAAATATTTTTTAAAAGGAAAAAAAAAACCTACATCTCTAGTTGAAGTTAATTTCATTTGATAAAACCCTAAATTTTTCTTCATTGATTTTCCTTTAAAATTTCGATGAAGGTTCCAATTGAAAAAAAAAAAAAAAAGAAAAAAAGAAGGATGTCTCTTAAATAGTCAACAAATACTGAAACATGTCTCTTAAATGTTTCTTCTACCCATTTTATTACATACTTTATGGGCATCAGTCTTGTTTTGCAAGTTCTTAAGCCACCGACATCATTGTGGATATGATTTTTCTAAGAAGGAGAAGGAGAAGGAGAAAGAGAAGGAGAAGACTATTGATAAATAAAGATAAAAAAGATAAAAGTGAACGAGAAATTGTAATAATTTAAAAAATATAGAGAAAAGTACATAGTTTATTATAATTTTGTATAAATTTATTATTTATATCATTTTAAATAATTAAGTGTCATCGTAATTTTTTTTATTTTTATTAATTAAATGATAATTGTTTATGTTTTAGTGGAGTAAAAATAATAAAAAAATATATTTCTTATCATCTTGAGGGGCATTTTTTATTTTTTATTTTAAATATAACATTGATAGTTGAAAAAATTATATTATTTTATAAATAAGATCAAGATTAAAATTAGGTGAGAGTATAAGAGGGTTAAATTATGTATTATTAAAATTATATCTATAAAATGATATAATTTTTAAATCTTTATTAAAAAGGATTAATATAGAGATAACATAGCAAATATCATTTTTTTATATGCATTTGAAGTATATAGCATTTTTTTAATGCTGGTAAATAATACCATATATTAATTTTTCATTCTAAAAAAACGTTCTTTTCTAAATCGCCCTCTTTCTCTTACATTCCCTGCAACATAACTTCTATCATCGGTCAAACTCTGTTATTTGGAATAAGAAGCCGAACAACGAGATTGAGGCAGATCTTCACAGGTCGAACTCCGAGGACCACTGCTCATTCTCCCTCCTCTGGACCGCGAATCGTGTCAGAGTTCTCCCGACCACCGAGATCGAGCAGATCTTCACCAACCGAACTCTGACACCTCTTTTCATTCTCCCTCTTTTGGATCGACCGTTGTGTGAGAGTACTTCGTTGCAACACGTTCTTTATTGCAAATTGAAAGGATGACGGTGAAGCCAACACCGAGCTCCATGGCAGATCACGTCAAAAACGCTTCTCTTCGAAGATCAACTTCATCTTCTCTAGCATGACGAGATCTGAGATCTACACAACGCCTTCTTCTTCGGCGGAGTTCGAGTGTGATATGAGGCGAAGGGAGCTCTTGTGCTCGCGTCTAACCTAGAAGCTCGTCATATCGCCGGTGACAGAGAGCAACCGCAGGCGGCTACTCGCGCGTATAATCTATATATGTATACTATAGAAATAAATTCCCCTCATAACAAATAAGGAGTGCTCTTTGTGAATACTAATGAACGTGATATGAGGACTCAAATCTGCTGTCAAATTTTAGTGTTTTATTAATTAAATCACGTCCCATTATATAAAAAATTTAAATTATTTTTTAATTAATTTTTTTTGTTTATTATAAAATAATATATTATAATTTAATTAGTTAGACATTAATCAGTACATTACAAATTGGACAGATGCATCATATGAATACATGTATTGTCTTCATTTAAAAACTGAATTTAGTATGAAAGAGTTTTTACTCTGAGCGGGAGTTGTGCAATCCTCTAACAAGTTAAACTCCATGTTTGCAATCCATTATCCCACTTCAGGATGATCTCCACTCTCTTCAATTTCCAGAGGAGAGACAAAAAAAAAAAAAAAAAAAAAAGGGGGGGTTGTAAATCCAAGTTTTGGTAAAATACTTTTTTGTGGGACATGTTTCATTTAA